CTTTACTGCATGGCTGCAAGAACCTGGAAAAGACCCTTAATTACATAAATAAAGAGGAATGCATTGCAGTGCCCAGTATGTTGTGCCAGACATTGCTGGATATGGCAGATTTGTGAGTATGTATTTTGAGGATAACCCAGTGAGCAAGATAAGAGGCAAGATAAGATGGAGCGAATTTCTTCTTTGCTATGCAACTCCAGCAATTGTTTTAGGTTTGGAAAGTGTAAGGAAGAGGAAGAACTTTAGTCAGGTACTTATTGATATGTGTGTCCTGACTGGAGAGACTTTACCAGTTTTGCTGCTGTAGTGACACAATAGAAAATGAAGAGAAATCTCCCCTATTAGGACACTGACAATAACAGAAAACCTGACAGAGGTTCTAACCCTCCCCTATTCTAGCTAAAAGTTAAAAAAAAGGTTGCCTGGGTTCCTAGTTTGAAACTGGAATTCAGAATAGGGCCCCTCATCCCATACATTATGGCTGTATTCATACTGTTGTGCATGCATGTTAAAGCAAATTATGTCATATGTTAATGTGTGTGGTGTAAAAGCAGGCCATTTATATAAACACCAAGCACGCAAATAAAGATGCAAGCACTTTTTTTTTTTTGCAAAGCAGCACACCAAAATGCACGATAATGCATTACTGTGTGTTGTGGTGTGCTGCAGCACAGATAGGGTGCACTGAAGTGGCATTTAAGAATGAATGGCACCACATCGCACCAATACATATAACAAACTTTTTTGCATGTTTGTAAGCATTGTTACAGTACAACAGTCTGAATTGATCCAAAAAACCCCAAGCATAAATACCTTTTTTCCCAGCTCTCTTCTGGTCTCTCACATGACATTCCTTTTCTCCTCTATTGAAGGTGATAAATAGTCCCCAATCCGCATACAGTGGAGTCAGGGGAGGCATCAGGGGTGTAATAGACCCACAATGTCTTCATAAAAAACCCTTGTTTCTATTTTGTACATGCACATAGGGGGCATGCCATCCCTACTGTGACAATAAAGTTGTTTAATAACAAAAAGAATGCAAAAATATAATCAAATATAATCCTCACCATATATAAATACAGTTAAGAAGTACTGACATCTTAATTACCTACTAGGCAATAAGATTAGGTATTCCCAGAAGCGCAGGAAGTATGAGAATAAGTTTAAGGCCCTTTTTATGTTTAAAAACTCATATTTTAGGCAGGTGAAAACTTTCCAAACTACTTCAATGAGGCAATATAGATGACAGCTTGAAGGCTACGACTGACCTGCTTTGAGTTTCTTTGGATGCAGCTGGTCCTATTTAGATGTGTTAGCATTGGTGGAAAAGAAGGTCAGTTGCAGTCTTTTGCTTTGTTAGATTCAAACACATGTGTCTACACAAAGCATAACTCCAAACTGAAGAGATGTAAAGCTTCTTAATGCATCACCTATTTACAGTTTTGAACATTGTAGTCTTCTGCTTTTTTTAACAACTGTTTGCAATTTTAAAGCTACGCATATTTAGAATGCAGTAATTTGATACAGTATACGCTTTAATATTTAATGGAGGACTTGGAGACCAGGTTGTGTTTTTTTGTTTTGCTCTAAATCACTTTAAAGATTTTTTTTTTTACTGAAAAAATAGATTTTGTAAACATTTGCTCAAATATTGTGTGACATACATAATAGGGACTGCCAACATTTGATTCTACAGGTCCTCTGTGTTCAGAAATGTTTAATTTTAGGTTTCCTTAGTAAACTCAACTCCATAGTCAGATTTTATTGTGTGTGTATAATAAATGCAAAAACGTATCCATTTATTGGTGACTTGAAATTCAATGTCCAGCAATGCAAAAGCACTTTTCTCTACCATTACCGCTTCCCGTTACTATCTCTAATCGAGGCCGAGCAGTGAAAGAAGAGAAGAGAAATCAAATGACTGATTAGGCTATTGCTGGCATGCTGCTTTCCTCTGCTGTCACCATTGTGGCCTGTCAGAGTGAGATAATAGTAAGTAGAAGAGCTTACAATCTATTATGGTATAAAGGAGTATTGACAAGGCAAAAGAGTGTACAGTCTATTAGGGCATAAAAATAGGATACAGAAGGAAGAAGAACTTACAGTCTATTAGGTATAAGGGAGGATACAAGAGGTGGAAGAAACTTTAATTTACTAGAGTATAAGGTAGGATACGCGTACACAGATTCTGGTTGCAATAAACAGAACTTGCATTGAAGATAAAGTTCAACAGTACAAACAGCCCAATGGGAAGGCACTCACAGTATGTCTGGCAATGTAGAATTGAGCGGGTCTTGAGTGCGCCGACAGCATCTGTTGCAGAGGGCACAATGCAGCCTGGCTGGTCTGCATTGTGCTAAGTGGGAAGATTCCAGGAAGGATGGCGTGTCCCTAGCTTGTCCCTATTCATCTGGAACCTCTTCCTACCACTAGTCACTTTCCCTGACAGATGGGTGACCTGTCCCTATCCTGTCCATTCACAAAATGCAGGAGCCAGGGTATTAAATGGACTCTGCCTGACCCAAGATGGCCACCAGGGCAACATGGGGCAGCAGCATCCAACCGCATTGCTTCTCCAAGTGACCCAGGAAGCAATTTCCTCCTTACTTCCTCTCTTCCTGCAATGTACCTGCAGTTAACCGCCACCAGCAGTGGAGAAAGGAGACTACACCTGCCTACTTATGGAAGGCAGAAGAGCTCACTGTCTATTAGTTGTAATTGAGGATATAAAAGATGGAAGAAGCTACAATTTACTTGTGTATAAGGTAGGATACAAAAGGCAGAAAAGCTTACAGACTATTAGGGTATAAGGTAGGAAACAGAAGGTGCAAGAGCTTACCATTTATTCATAAGAATTCATTTACAATCCATCAGATAATAAAGTAGTAATATTGAATATTTATTCGTGGTGAAAGCATTTGTTAGTATTTTCTTATAGTATCGGGAAATCTAGACAGCTTACACATGGGGAGGGTGGCTTAGAAGGAAGAAAAAGCCCTAAACTAATAGTCTGCCTAGGGCTTTGTTTGATTTTACTCCAGCTCTGGACTGGCATGCAGACAGCGACTAAATTATGGGAAGAGCCAAGACTCCAAAGCAGCAGATCTAACAAAGGAAAACCACAGAGGTTGCATGTTACACCTACTTCCCACTCGTCTACACATTTAAACTGTGTTAAATAATTGTTAAATAATGTTAAATAATTCTAGAAAATACAGGTGGGCTTTAAAATAGATAAGAAAAACAATACCAATATACCATCCATTGTCTATTCATTATTATTACCACATTAGCTCCTGTCTACAGAGCATCATTAAAGTATCTGCAACGGCATCAGCTCATAAAATGATGCCATTAAGTTGCAGTGTTTACACAACTAGAATCATGGGTCTTGTGTGTGGGAGAACAGGGCAGACTGATGCTGGCTTGTTATTGGCAATACAGTTTATTCTGAAAATAGTAAATGTCAAAAAAGGACATCTATATGAATTATACAAGGATTTTTATAAATAAATCTACACTTTAAAAACTGCAGTGGTAAGTTGTTTGTTATATGAATTCCCCTTTTCCTAAATGTGCCAAGTTAATTGTTTTAATGTAACGAAATTAATTATGTGCATTTGTCATGCAACAGAGTAAAACATAATGGGCCTAGTGGTAGACATAATTTTACGTTAAAGTGGATGTTCATCCTAGAATTACTCCATGAACAATAAACAGCTGTTTGACTTCTGCTGCACTTCAGTTGTCCACCAATCAGCTTTTGAAACTGCCAGCCATTTACCAGTGACACCATGCAAATCATGGGCTCTCTGAATGTGACAGTACAGGAGCATTGCTATAAAGTGTGTTCCAGGTGGTACAAGGTTCCCTTTCTGCTCCACAAAATCTCTCCCTCGGTACTGGATGTATGCTGGGGCTCTGGGGAGCTGCCCTCATATTCAGATTTACTGGAGGCAGGTCGATGAGGTGGATTCCAGGGTATCTTCTTACCCTCTGGAGTTCTCCCTTGCTGAACCATTCCACGGTCATGAAGGGCGCTTACAGGAAATCTCTGGCTATGCATCTCATTAATTCAGCAAAGCAATGCATTGTCGCTTGGCACCCTTCGTGCTTTCTGTGTCTTAGTCAGGCTTTGAAATGGCAAGACATAGATAGTATGGGGCAGGGGCGGACTGACCATTCGAGCACTAGGGCACTGCCCAAGGGCCCGGGGTCAGTAGGGGGCCCCATGAAATGCCCCTGGTACCTTATATAGGCTTTTTTGGGTGTGCTTTGAGTGTGGGCAAAGACACAGGGGCCCCATGATCCCATATTGCCCGGGGGCCCCATGCATTGTCAGTCCACCCCTGGTATGGGGGGCTGAGTGACGCCATGAGAATTTATCAAACCTGGAGCAGTCAGAATTTGAAGTAGCTGTGCATGTCAACAAATCAGCTTCTGTCTTTCATTTTAAAGCTTTACTGAGCAAACCAAAGATAGAAACTGATTGGTTGCCATGTATAGTTGCTCCAGTGCACCCTGCATGAGTTGTAAGTAAATGCCAGCAGTTTCCATTGTTGATTGCTGGACTACTGGAGCATGGACAGAAGCCAAACATGGTGCTATGCATTTATCCAGGTACTTATGTTATATGGCTGTTTAACCTCCCTGGCGGTATGATTATTTCAGATTTGTGCTGAAAGGGGTACCATTAGTTTGCATGGAAATATGTAGTTTTTTTATTGTAGGCCTGTCATTTTTAGGAATAACTCACTGAAATCTGTCCAAACAAGAGTCAGTAAACATTCCGGATATGATACAACTTGAAACACGAAATTATAAATTAATAAATAATCATAAAAAATAATTTTACAATAATAATACATTTAATCCAATGATATAATCAGACCAAAAACACTGAAATTTGAAATATAGCACTAAGTCCGCACATCGCTGAGCAAAGTCGCAGAATCGTTTTCAGTGTCTGATGACGAATTTCCCCCACGAATCATTATCACTCAATTCTGCAAGTGGTTCTAATTTACTATCGCTGTTCTCTAGCTGGTCTAAAACTGCTTTTGACCTAAAGGGACGCTTTTTGGACGCCATGGACTTTTCCCAGTTTCCAGGCAGAAAAAACAGTAAAAATGCAGGCAGGGCACAGGACAAAGCACTCGGGACAAAATGTATGTGAAATGCTTTGAAACAACAATGCTTTACTATGTTATATACGATTTAAAAAACATTAAATTTTTTAAAACTTTCAAATTTGCCACTGGTTCCGGCGCCCGCACGTCCCGACGTCACAGGGACCGGAACACAGAAGCCGGATGCCGGCATCAGCTGGAGAAGATGGCCAGGAACGCTGCAGGGGACACATCGCCGGAGCGAAGGACAAGGTAATTGCTGCAGGGAATCCCTGAGCAACGCCGCATGGTAAGCCCGAGTGTAGCTTTTTGGTACTGAAACTTTACCCCGAGCTACACTCGGGAATACTGCCAGGGGGGTTAATGTTCAAAAATTAATTGCAAGGCTCCATTCACACTTGTGTGACTTGTCACTTTGAGCACTAAAGCTATATGACAAGTCGCACTCCATGTTTTTTAATGACAACAGTTCAAATATGAAACAGTGGCATGAAAGTCACACCTGAATGTTATACATGCGACAGTTGTGCAACAGGTGTTCTTTATTATTGGTCAAAGCCAAAGTCACATCCAAGTCCCACCCATCCAAAGTTATATCAAAGTTGCACTCCAGTCACACTTGAAATTGCGCTACTTTGGAGTCCCACTAGTGTGATTGGAGCCTAAGCCAAGCTTCTTCTTTAAGTACATGCATGCTAAGTAAAGTGTAAGTGTAAGACAAGACATAGATGAATTGTTTTTCTTTCCTTCCACCATCTAACCCACAGGAAAGCATCAGTGTGAAAGCGGCCTTACAGGGGGCTTAGAACAGTAAGGGCTCATTTACATATACATTTTGAGGGGAGGTAAAACCCCATAGTTGAGATGTGTTTTTACCACACACCCCAAACCACTGGTCATCAGGGGTCGCAATGGCCACCATGCGCCATGCTCCAGGGGGCCTGTGACATTTTACACTTGGACAGAAGGGGCAGCGGGGGCAGCATATATAGACATCGATCCTCTCCATTTTCCTCTTGTAACTGCTGAAAGCTGGCTTCTGTTCCCATCCCTCTTGCCAGCATTCAGCAGCTACAGGAGGAAAATGTTCATTATGCTATTCAAAATAAAAAAAAAAAATGAAATTTTGAACCATTTCATTTCATTGTGGCCTGCAACCAGTTTACAAATCCCTAAGTGGCTTTGCTCCTCAAAAGGTTGAGCACCCCTGATCTAGAGGAATGATTTTAGTCTAGTAGGTGGGCACCAACACTAGATGAGATGAAGTCTCACTAAAGATGGCACCTCTGTTCTCAGGGGAATGGAAGATGAAGGCATTGTCACTAGGAGTAATCTCTTTGAGAGGTAAAAATAGCTGCAACTGTTCCACTTACACGTTACTTAGCGTATATGCATGTTGACATTAAATATATATCTCTAAAAGTCAACCTAAACTAAGTATTTATATATGGCAATGGCTGTAAGTGGGTTACATTTACTTCTTGAAAGACAGAACAGGGGTCCTCGAAGTACCAATCCAGCTACAACACTGCCATCTTACCTTTCTGGCTGGTCGTACTCTTCCTAGACATGTGCATGTTCCACTTGCTGGCTAAATTTGGATACTGCATGAAGTAAACATGGCTCTGACATCACGAAGTGCAAGGTGTAAATTTAAAGTGGAGTTCCACCCAAGTGGAAGCTCTGCTTTTCTGCCTCCTCTGCCACATTTGGCACCTTTTGGGGGGGAGGAGGGTGAGGGTACCTTTTTTTGACAGGTACCCACACCCACTTCCGGTTCAGTTGACCACACAAGCTGAGCCAGAGATTTGCCCCCCCCCCCCCCCCCACACACACTTCACAGGTCCCAGAGGACTGCGGCCCATTCACAAAGTGTAGCACACTTCGTAGGAAGGCTGCGGCAGCACCAGCACCAGACAGCCGGTTGCTTAGGGGTGGGCTCGGGGTAAGGGCACCACTGGATCCCTGGACAGGTAAGTGCCCTAATATTAAAAGTCAGCAGTTACAGTATTTGTAGGTGCTTTTATTTTATTTTTTTGGCAGGGGGGCTGGAACTCTGCCATTGTCATATCTTCAATATTCTGTGACTACCATGGGAAGATTGTTCTCTATGTTCTGCCAGCCTTTAACATGACCTTATTATATGAAATGGTCTCAAAGGTTCCCTTAACTTACCCTTGCCTGTCTATGGATCACCAATCTGCTTGACATATTTGTTCTTTACTTAAAGTGGTTGTAAACCTTTTCATATATCCAGTGAAGGGACTGGCCTCAGGTGATACAGAGATTAAACAAATCCTTGTAAGTAAGTTGTACCTGTTTATCTGTAGTATATCTTCTGTACATCCATGCAAAGTTCAGAATAGATAAAGGTTGTCTGAGAGTTTAGAAAAAAAAAGGGTGCGGAGAGGTGAAATTGCACTCTGCATAGCCAAGTGAGGAGAGTTCTAAGAGATGATTGGAAGGAAAGGACACCCCCTCCCCCTCCACAGACCTCACAAGAGCAGAGCTGAGGCTGTCAGCCTGGTGGAGCTCCCTCGCTGTCACAATTTTTTTCTTGGTCTCAGGAAAACTTGTCAGAAGTGATTCATGCTGATGGCAGAGGAACAAAGCAGCAGACAGAAATTACACTTAGTGCTCTTAGTAGAGACAAATACACCACTATAGAGGGATATGCCTTGTTCATATATCAACCACTTGAGGCAGAAGTTTAATCTGCATATATTTTGCCTCTCCATGTTCCTTCTTTTACTTCTCATCAACATGCTACTGATTTTTTTTTTTTTAAATAAAGCAAGTTTTCATTACATACCTTATTTTATACCCAGTGATGACACCGAGCCTCTCTATGCAATGAAGGGAAGATCAAGGCTAGGGGTAGAGACAAGCAGGGGGCTGTATTTAGCTTCCCTAAAACATCACAGCACCCTGTCTCAGTGTTCTGTAGGTTGGCTCTTGGGAAGGGTATGCAAATATCATAATGCCTTGAAAGGTGGATGTCAGCGTGGAGGAGTGGGTTTCCTAGTTAAGCTTTATCTCCATGCAGACTGATCTAGCCCTCATGTGCACATGACCCTTCTACATATTTCCCGGCAGTGTCTGCTGGTGCGGCCCTTTTAGGAAAAGGTACAGAAAGTCATAGTTGAACTTACGGATTTTCAATTCATGGACTGACCTGAGACATTTCTGCTACACCTAACTATGCCACAGAAATGTCATAAGAAATCTCTCTTGGTCAGTTTGATCAATGCAGCCAGAGTTTGCATACTCTGTCTAAGTGTTCTGACTTACCCCTCGATGGGTCAATGGTTTGCGGCACTTGAGGATATTCAAACTTTGTAGTCATTGAAAGCGGCTTTCAAATGGAAAGGCACCAGAAAACATTGCTTTACTGAAATAAATTACACACTCTTTCTCTATGATCTGTAGGGCAGAAATAGCAGGCAGTGTAGGCGACATGGAGTTTGAACTCTCTCCCATGTCTCCCATTCTTCTCTCCCTACCCAGTACATTTTTTTCCTCTGCCTTATTTTTGTTATTTTTTCCTATAACTTGACCGACCTTAGTTGACCATTTACACAGGGTGGCCTGTATGATCCTCTATACTTAGAAAACCTGGTTTTCCCACTCAGCTGAGCCCTAAGAGATTTGTATCAAGTTGGTGGAGCTTTGCTCTATATACGATTGTTTATTGCTTTATGTTAATCGTGTAAATTGAGTGATACTGTTATTGTGTTCTCATATCTGGGGTACCTACAAAGATAAGGAGAAAAAAGGAAAAAAAGAGACAGAGGTCATGGGAGAGTTCCTTATGGTGTAGTCGTTTGAGAGATAATTGAATGGAATAAACAAAGATAAAGTAAATTGCAATGGTGTAGTCACATCTGTGAGGTTGCTGAGCTCCCTAATGGGGGTCAGACAACCTGGAGTAAACGTCTGCAGTGGATATCTCTGTCCCTGTGCAGAGTAAGGTTTCTCTCGATGCTTCATGGGGTGATCTAGATGCTCCTATGCTCTGCAGCCTCAGGATTCTGGTGTGTTCATGATAACAGTTTTATGAGCCTCAAAAGGTGAGAAACTGGTGTCAGCAGAGGTGCCCATTTATGAAGGAGATGCTAAGAAATGGATTCTTCGTTGATTCAATATTTATTGCTCACAGAATAATATAAAACACCATCAACGCGTTTTGTGACACTACAATGGCCACTTCATCAGGATGGTGCAAAAAACACTTTATACAGCTGCAATCTGTCTCTTTGTACTTTGTATGTGTGCTCAGGCCAGTGTAGTGCCATGAAATGCATTGACAATGTTTTATATTATTCTGTGAGCAATAAATATTGGCTCAATCAAGAATCCATTTCTCAGATTCTCCTTTATATTAGGGTGACTCTGTTGATACCAGTTTCTCACCTATTGGGGCTCATAAACCTCTTATTCTGTACTAATGTTGGCCGGTGGATTGTGTAATCATATTGATATGGGTTTCATTTTCTAAAGGAGAATGGACTGTGCACTTTGCAAAGTAAGCAGTTGCTCGAGAACAGTTGCTCCAGAGCTTAGTAAATGAGCAGAAGCTCTGCTGACTTCCATCATCCAATCATGTCCAAGCAAAAATGTTTTTTTTTAGATTTTCCTTCCACATGATTGGGTATTCTTTGCAAAGTGAAGCTTTACCTAATTTATTAAGCTCTGGAGCAACTGCACTTCTAGAATGCAACTGAACTTTGGAAAGTTCACAGTCTTTTTGTTGTTAGTAAATCAACCCCTGTATGTACTGTCTTTGTCATATGTATCATGTATTGGTTTGTGGAAGAATTTAATAAAAGACAAAAAATTAATGAAAAAAAAAAAAAAGCCTACACGTGATGATGATCCTCCATTATTGAAGGAAGTAAATCCAATAAATGAACGGGGAGAGCCAGGGACAGCCAGGAAACAGATGGATGACGCAGGATTTCCTCCAGCCAGCAAATGAGACAGATTCTCATTTGACTTGCTGCAGCATCTAATACTCCTTATGTATAGAAGGCACCTTTGTGCAGACAGAGAATCAACACCAACCCACTCAATGCTTCAAATAAATGCAATTGTATTGTTAACAGAAGGATTGGCATTAAATCATTCACATTGCACAGCATTCTGTATTTCTAGCATTTCAAATGAGAAAATATATAAAATAAAGACTTCCCATAGCTACATCAAAATGAATTTTTACAAGTGTCTATTTATT